GAAATCGGCAAACCGAAGCAGGGAGGAAGGCTATCTATCGTTGCTTGCCTGAATTACATGTTGTTTCATCTGGAGATGATCCATCGTACCAAATCTACTTCTTTCTTTGTCTCTACATTGTCTTGTTTTTCCTGAAGTCTGTTCGTCGGTTCCTTTGTGAAGATCTTGTGGTTGATTTATGATAACCTGATCGCCTGTAGTTCTTTTGATCCTCTTTTTAGGAGTAGAATCACCCACGCGGTGGTACAATCGTTTATAATTTTCATTTTTGTCAGACAGCGTGAAAACTAGCTCGCTGATATCTTGGTCAGTGTTTCACCTTCTGATTTCACGAGATCAACTGTACTGCCATCTTCGCCGAAAATCCCTCCTCGTTTTGCCTGTTTTATTTTTATTATTATTCAGTTGTAACTTTTGTCGAAGATGGTCTATCCTGCGTCCATGTTTTTCTTTGCATACATGTCATTCAGGTCGAGGTCGTGCGGTGGGTAGCAAGTCGGTACTGCTAGCGAAGGAGAACTTTATTCTCAACAAAGAAGTGCTCAACATCTTGCGGTCGAAGCTGATGGATGCGGCGCTCGATGTGATTTCCGAAAAGGGACAAGATTGGATACTTGACCGGGTTCAGCGATTGCAAAAATCCTTCTTGGCCGAGGCGCAGCTTTCGGTCTTGATGGCGCGGAAGAAAAATACTCAGCTCGGTGACAAAACGTAAGTATGCCTACTTTTCAGGGCAGTCATTAAATGCGCCGACGGGAAGGAGTGTTTGCCTGCTTCGTCGTCTGAAGCTTATAAAGCTTGAACAGCAGGGGTGCACATATTAGTTAAGGAATTAAGAAATTGAACGACCGGACCTATCCATGCTGGCATTAGTTTAAATCTACATAATGTGCAGATATTGTCTCTGCCCATTCGTTAAGTTACGCATATTTCAGTGCATTACTTTTTGTGGATAACCTATTTAGCTCTCATCACACTGAAATTTTGAATTTGTGAGGCCACAGAGTCAACGTGCAATCACATGATCGCCAGTTTGATTCTGTATTATTGGTAATCATCGGCGAATTCTCTGTATTAATACGGAACGTTTGATAACGCTGACATTCTGGTGTGTGTAGTTTATCACATGTGGCGACTGTGATCCACTAACGTTGGTATTGTTTCACAAATTTTATCTGCAGCGTTATCTTATAAGAACAGTGAACAAACATGGCAAATCACCTTTAACTAACGCTAAAAATTAATGTACAAATAGGTAGTATTTCATTTCGTCATATGATTATTTAGCATCCAGGAAAATATGTCAATACCTCTATTACGATAATGATTCGCAATATTCAGTATTCCTTCTACTCTTCGATAGTTCTTTCATTTGACAGATGGTAGATGGCAAGAAACAAGTTTACTCACAAGTAGCTGTTTATTTATGTAATTCATGAAATGAATGTACAAATCCGAGCTTGCGCCCTAAGGGCGGCAAATCGTGTGGTTGAACTTGCTCTGTCTGAGTTTTTTAAAGCGACGTTTCAGTTTAATGTTGTGATAATTCTGCTACTACATGAAAGTCACATTCTTCATCGCAAATATTCTTTCCTGCACGAAGGGTTCATATGCGTTGTATTAATTTTCAATGCGTCCATCCTGTCATTCAAGTCCGGCTCTGATCTCTGGGTGTTTTTGATCGATTTCTTAAGTCCAGGCTTATGAACACCCGTTCGTTTTTTGATTCGGTTGCACTAAGCACCAGTGCATTTGGGAATATTTTGTACGCGACAGTATCGACATGAGTAATGGTCATATGGAGCTTCAAAATGCAGATGATACTAGACTGAACATCAGGACCATGATACCACTAAAAGGACGGAAAATGACGATCGCACCACTAATACCTCTTTGCCAGTTCTGCTTTGTTGATCCTGTCTGTCTCGTCGAAATAAGCAATAATTGTTTCTGAAACAGTTGACTTCCAGGGAAATAGGGTACATGTATTCTACGTAGAATTTACTTTAAGTTTGATAGTGTTTATGTGACGTTAATAATTGATTTATAGGTTCGTGCTGCACTGCAAAAAATGCGACCAGCTTTTTATGAAATCACGCGACGTGCGAGTCGCATCCATGTGCCACTTCGTCTGTGTCGATCCGACCATTTGGGAACGACTCGCGATCTCAACGAGAACCGAACCAAAGATCTGTCAGACAGTCGCAATATCGGGAAAGATCTGTTGTCGAAAATGCAAGCACGAGTGTGGGTCCATCGTTAAGTACTCAGAGGTGTTTTATCCAGCGTTCAAGATAGATGGTGTATGCCTGGTAGACGAAGCGACAGGAAAACGACTTGTCGAGAGAAAGTGGAAAGCCGTGCAGGAGAAACACTTTGTACCCGGACCAGTGGAATCAAAGGATTCGATGGCCATGTACAGTGCTTTGGCAAGTAACTTTGTGGACGAAATGAACCAACGTATCAGCACAGCACTGCAAAAGACATTGTCAGGTATGAACTCGCAACTGTCATACAAGTAGAGTAGCAGTCGTTGGTTTTAGGGGAAATTCGTTTTGCTGCTTGACTGCAACGGACGTTGGAATGCCGGTAGTTTTATAACACGAGATTTCGAATAACATTGTTGTACTACAAGTCGTGACTTTGTTCTTCATAGGTCTTTTTTCTTGTTGTTTTGAACAGATTTCAGTACAGTTTCGAAACCTATGGAATATTGTTTTGCAGTGTTTCTTGTTTGGTTCGTTGGTTTCTGAAGCAGTGGAGCTTCGACATTTAGATATGTGAATTCACGACGGGTTCGATCCCGCACGCAGCAGTGATACAAGCGATTCATGTTATGCTGTTTAATTTTTACCTTTTTTTGTTTTTTGTGGTATATGCATATTTTTCTGATACTGCACTACAGAAGTATTACATTTGCGACATTTTCACGTGAAATATTTAAAACTTAAATTTGAATACTTGCAACTGGTAGGCAAATTTCGTTTGTTTCATCTCTGTGATAATCTCTATCATTTGTTTCATTTTATCGTTGCTAGTTTTTCTATGTAATATCTATGCTATTGTGTTCGTGAATGCACCCACTATTCCACTGTTGAACGTTTCACTTAACGAACCATACGATTATTTACTGGATATTCAAATCAGCCGTTAGTGACACTGGATCACTGTGCGTAAGCATTTAGTGCGAACGGTGTCTCAGTTGTGAAAGAAGCGGCTTCGAACTCCTTAGATTCCAGGTTCGAATCACTGTATAGAAAATTTGTCTTAACCGTTAGTTCCTTTCAGCAAAGAATTTGTTCCACGTTACTTTGTTGCGATTAGCAAGTCGCTGACTCGATAGCAACCGCATGAATGATGACTGATATGGTTATGCCAGAATCAGTTGAACGTACACTCGTACTTTCTGATGCAAGCACTTCAGAGCTGCAATTCGCTTTGACCCACGTGACAGCTTTTGATTCAATGTGATGTTCAGCATAATGTGTAATCCCTGTTGTTATTTCAAATCCACACAGAAGAATGTACGCGTGAAGTCAAAGTCTGTCATGT